GTGTGTGTGTGTGTGTGTGTGTGTGTGTGTGTGTGTGTGTTTGTCCGTTTGTCCGTGTCTGTGTAATCTTGTGATTTCATCACTGTAGTCAACAGGCAACAAGCCTTTCTTAAGTGCTTACTATGTGCTAGGCACACTGTTTAGCACTGAGGATACAACTACAAGTACAAAATAAAAGCCAGTCCTTGTCCTCAAGGGGCTTACATTCTAATTGAGGAAAACAACACATAGAAGGAAACTGAAAATAGGAGTGAAAGGTGGTTGGGAGCGTCAGAAGCAGAGCCAAGAGGGGAGAGAAGAATGGCAGGCCTGAGCCCCTCCCCAGAATGGAGTTCCAGGGAGGAGCTCACCGAAGGAAGAAGGGGGCTAGAGGGGCAGAGAGATGTATTAGGGAGAAAAGAACCTGGAGGAAGTTCCAGGGTGAGAAGGCAGCTGAGGCATGGTGGCAAACTTTAGAGGATCAGAAGCAAAACTGGGATGGGAGCCCTGAGTGAGACACACACTACCAATGACTTCCATTTTGACACTGACTTCTATGACTCTGGAAGAGAGAGTAAGGCTGGCCAACTCACGCACAAGTCAAGACATCACTCATATGTCAGTATCATGATGTCATTGGTCTTCATCAAAACTGAAGGACAAACAACAACCAATAAACCAATAAAAGCGCCTTCTTTTTGATTTGCAGTTTAACAGAATTACCGGAGGCACTCACTGGCTTAGTGCCTTGTCCTTGGTTACACAGCCACTAAGGGAAGGAGTCAGGACTTGAACTCTTGAGGACAGCTCTTTGCCCACTATAGCATTCTGCTTCTCACCAGTCTTTCAAAGGCAGATTTTCATGGGGAATGGGTACTGTTCTATACTGGAAAGTATGGATGACATGTGAATAGTAAAGTGAATTAAGTGTGGTATTTGCCTCCTGAATTTATGAGTAGTTGAAACTATGTATTAGTCTGTTAAGTACTTGTTATTGACAGAAAACTCCCAAATGCATGTTTTCACAGGAGATACAGACCTGTCATTCCTCTTTTTCAGATTGTGTCATACAAGACAGAACTGTCTCGGGAGCTCATTGGGTATTTCAGCTTGTTCCTGATCCAGTCCCATAGCGATGGAGCCTTGTCTGGTAAGATGTATAGACTGAGGTGGGTTACAGTGCCTCTTAGGAAAACATCGGCATTCAAACTCAGTTCACTAAAATGTAAGCGCTTTGTGTGTAGGGATTGTTTTACTGTTTGTAAAGTTATCCTCATTGTCTAGTATACTGCCTGGCACATAACAAATATTTGTCTATCAATTGACATGTAGTGATAGGTGGGTGATCAGTGTCCTGACACCCTTTCCAACCTCTTTTCTCAGCCCATTAGAATTAAAAGAAGTCAAGAGTGAGATGGGAACTACCAATGTGAATTAGTCAGGACTTAGGATAACAGATCATCCCCTTGGTTACAAGTTCATTCAAATCTTAAACACTGACCCCAATGATCAATTTGCTAATAAACATTTATTTAGCACCTTCTGTGTGATAGGTTCTAGAGATACAAAGACCAAAATGGAGCAGTCTTTGTCTGGGAGAACTACAAACAGTTTTTCCTTTGTCCCTAGCCCATGTCCGTTGGCCCCACCCTAGTATGGGAAAATTTAATGTTTTTTTTCTTCTCTCTTAGCAAGGTCCCTATCATATATAAGAGAGCACTAGACCAGATGCAAACTCTTCTTTATTCTCTTCAGCTGATTTCACAGGATCTGAGTCGGAAGGGACCTCAGAAGTAATCTAGTCCTCCCAAAGCAGATAAACTCTGCATCATCTCCAGCAAGAGGTTGTACAACCTCTGCTTTGTGGAGACAGAGAGAGAGTGTGTATGTGCATTTATTAAGTACTTACTATATGCCAGGCACTAAGCTAAGTGCTGGGAATACAAATCCAAGCAAGAGAGAGAGAGACAGAGACAGAGAGAATGAATGAATGAGTGAGCTGCTCTCAAGGAGGTTACATTCATTCCAGTGGAGAAAGACTACACACAAAACGGAACTGGAAGCAGGGGGTAGGGTAGAAAAGAAGAGGGGATACCCACAAAGGGGAATAGGGGAAAATCTAGAATATCAGGAGTAGAGTGAGGAAGTGAGAATGGGCTTTTCCTGAAATGGTGGTCCCTGGCAAGAACTCAGCAGAGAAGAAACCATAGGGACAGAGGCATCTTCAGGGTGAAGAGGATGTTGGGCATGGTTGTAGAAGAGGCTAGCTAGAGAGTCAGGAGTGGTCCTAGAGCTTTCCATCCCACTAGAGCTAACTACCCAGGTGAAATTCTGAGCCACAAAATCCTATCTATTCTTTTGTTGACCTCTTTGAAATCTGCTTTCCTCAAAACTGGGATGCGTATCAGTTGATAACTGGCTTACTGCTCCTCTATTAATAATTCTAAGATAATATGGTCACTTCTTTCCAAGGTTCCAATAATCTTTCATTCAGCAACAAATTTTTACTTATTAGAATCAAGTTCAGAATAGCAGTTACCTCCATCACTCCTTACATGGTTTTAAAGAATGATAATTGCCTTAAGGCAAATCCAGAATTTATCAATTGCTCTGCCTTTAGGAAGGGAAGGAAAGAGAGAGGGAGGGGAGTGTGTGTGTGTGTGTGTGTGAGTGAGAGAGAGAGAGAGAGAGAGATCTAGTAAAACATTTCCCATCACTAAGAAATCAAACTTCTATGTCATGTTTGTATTGTCCTTCCTAATTCACTTATCTGCTTCCTCCTTTTATCCAGGTAGCCTATATTATATTCCCACAACAGTATCACTTCAGAATCTCCCTTTGTCTTCCATCATCTGTCTTTGCTTTCCATTTCTATGTGTCTTTTAAAACTCCAAGTTGGTCAAACAAGTCTTTGTCCAATTCCTCTTCACAATACTTTTCCCCCTGCCAGTTCATAGGTTTCCTCACATGAATGTATTTTATTTATATAAAATACTGCTCCATCACTCCTTTGATCTTTTTTGTTCCTTTGTGTTAAGTATGGCCTTTCAGAACCACATTCTACTCATAAATCTCATCGTAGGAACAGTCAGTGATACTTATCCTTTACCTGTTAACAACTCACTTTGTTCATTATCAATACTTTGGATAGTAGATACAGACATTATGAAACCATGGCTTTTATTGCTGGCCTTACTCTTGGCCACTGTAGTCTATGCCTTTTTGGTATTCTTTCTTGATTTTACTCTGTTATCTGGTTTGGGAGACATACCTTGGCAATTGTCTCATCATCTTTCCACTTCAGTTTAAAGTCATTTTGATTAGATTCACAGCTCCAGGAAAAATCTTTATAACTCTCTCTGGTTAGGTTGACTCCATTCTGACTCAAGAAGCCATCATTCCTCTATCCGTTTATGAAGAACACTTGATCATGTCATTGAATTACACCATGTTGTATTTCTGCTTGTTTGTAAACAGATGAGAAGCAGTATGGCATAGGAGATAGATGGCCAGCCTGGGAGTTAGAAAGACATGAATTCGAGCCTTTACTTGGACACATCCTAGCTGTGTCACTGACCATATGTAAGGCTCCCAACCTCTTGAAGCCATTTGCAACTCTCTAAGACTAGAAGGTGCTGATCTGGGCCAATGAGTACTGAGCAGGTATGAGTTTCAGAGTTATTGTCGTCTTGTAGGACCATGAGTTTCTGGATATCATGAAGTCTAGGGGAGCAGCTGGGTAGGAAATTTTTTATTTCCTTTTGGGTGTTTAAATTTTTAAAATTGATATGGAGGGAATTTTCTTACCAGAAGTTCCCAAACCATTAAAATCACATTTCTGGGCCAGAAAAAAAAAGTATTTGTTTCAGGGAGGAAGAAAGGGGTTAGTGGAAATAATACTTCCCCAACCTTTTGAATTTTGATGAGAGGTCCTAAGTCAAAGATGCTCAGTAAGAAAGAATAATTAATGTAGTGATTTTTAATAGTATTATAATAAATGTAGTCTCTTGCTCTTTGTTTAACTGAGTCTTTGGGAACTGTTTGGGAAGAAACTTCAAAGAGCAAATTAGCATCCCCATGTTCCATTTTGGTTGCCTCAAAGCTTGCTGCTAGCTCTTTGTTGTAGGCATTAATTAATGCAGCTATGCCAAGCTGGAAGGAAGTCCTCTCTGAAGTGCCACAGAGATGTCCCCCTATAGCCGGGTTCTGTTCAACATTTTTATCATTTGCCCAAGTCAAGGTTGGAAGAGGTACAACTAAGCAATCTATATGAACACTATGCCTCATCCCTAAGTGAGACCCAGACATTAGCTGTGTTGCTAACAGTGTATGGCTCTGTGATCTGAGGAAAGTCATGGTAGGCCTCAGCTTTATCTATAAAGTAGGGAGGACACTATTTCACCTACACAAATTATAGGGCTTTGTTGAGGATCGAAGGATTAGAGGTCATGATTTGGGGTTTAATTGGAGGTTGCAAAGAAGAAGGAGAGTAATGATAGATTGTGATCAGTTAAGGGAATTGAAGAGTTCACAAACACGGAAGTGGTGCATTTGTAGGTGATGGCAAGATTGAGGGAATGGTACTCTTTGTGTGGCTGAGGTAGAGTGGAGAAACAGTCGCATGAAATGAGTAAGTTGAATTGTGAGGAAAAAGTGTTTGAGAGAGTATCGATATATAAGTCAATCCTCAGCATTTGCCCATTTGACTTTTGAGACTTCAAACATTTGCATTATTTTATTAGTAACCTTATTTTCCCTTTCATGTTGCGCAACCCTGCACATCTGGGGCTATTTGCAATAGAGAAAAAAATAAGAGGCAAAGTGTGTGCAAGTTTGTGGAGCAGCTGGTGTCCTACTAGACAATTCACTGGTCTAGTTCACCTACAGTTGTAGAATAAAGAGCTCCCTCCCATTCATTGCATGTTTTCATTGTTTGACTTTACAATTCAAATTTTGTGTTGCAATTACGCCCCTGAAGTGTAGTGCAAATCCTTTGAGCTCTAAGATGATGTCGAGACTCACCACTCTCAATGTCTTTTGACAGCCATGACCAAAGTCCCAGCAACCTCTCCCTTGGTGTTCAGAGGATGGCTGGGGTAGAGAGGTTTATAGCAGTATAATATACGGTGTAGTGGCTTCACACCACCATTTGACACAGTGAAAGGTAATAGTTAAAAAATGTTTTAGTTTTAAGAATTTTATTTGCTGTACAGTATTTTTGGCATTAGGGGCAGCTAGATGGCATAGTGGATAGAGCACTGGGCCTGGAGTCAGGAAGACCCGAGTTCAAATCTCGCCTTGGATACTGACTAACTGTATGACCCTAAGCAAATCACTTAACCCTGTTTGCCTCAGTTTCTTCATCTCTAACAAAGAGCTGGAGAAGGAAATGGCAAACTACTCCAGCATCTCTGCCAAGAAAATCCCAAATGGGGCCACAGAGTCAGACATGACTGAAATGACTGAACAACAGCAACAGATTTATGGTACTATAGATTTCATGTGTTATAAAAAATGAATGTTGACTGAAATCAATGTTTGTTTTTTTAATTGAGATGTTAGCACAAAAGGTCACAGAATTTTAGGAAATTACTAACAAGAAAAAATGTTTTGCATGTTACCAATTTTATTTTGTGTACTGCATTTTAGGGGTTATTTCATGGTTACTGTTAGGAAAAGTACACATTATCAAAATTAATGTTTTGTTGTAAAGAATTGTAGGTAGATTAATATATTTTTAGTAACCTCTAACAAAAGATTACTATTTTTGGTGGTCCCAGGAACCTAACCCTCTATTTCCCATAGGTTCAATGTATCAACATTCGTGTTTTTGACTTTCACACTATTTTCTAGGAACATTGCCCCTGTGAAAGTTGAGGATTGACTGTACATATTCATATATGCTAGTATCAGGGCTGGAGTTGAGGAGGAGAGAAAAACTATGATTGCCAGATCCAGTGGCCTTTTCTCAATTCTCCTACTTCTTAACCTCTCTGCAGGCTTTGACATTGTCAACCCCACCTTCCCCCTTTATATTGTCTTCTCTAGATTTTCAGGATACTACTCTCTCCTGGTTCTCCTTCTCAGTTCTCTCCTTTCTCAGTCCTCTTTGCTGGATCTTTCCCCAGATGATACCTGCTAACCATGAGT